GGGGGGTTGGAGTTGTCCTACCTGAGGAAAAGCACTGGTCTGAGGTGAGGGGAATGGTCCATGCACCCTTCCTACGATTCCCTGGCCCTTGCACTGCTTTTGCAGGTAGGTATGTCCCCAAGGCACAGGTGGCTCTGCAATAAGCCGTGATCCAGCACCCCATCGCAGACCCCCTCCAAGTGCCATCCCACCAGCATGCTTCTGGCAACAGGGCAGCTGACGCTTCATTTAAGTTTGCCTCTTGTGCCATGTAAAATATTGCTTTCAGATAAGGAAAACATCTGGCAGAGACACTTTTAAAACTCATCTGAGCTTTGTTCATGCAGAAAAATCGATTTCATATTTAGCGTTTGATTTTTTTAGAAGGTCCACAAAAAAACCCAAAAACCCTTAGAATAGCATTTTGGATGCCACTGCCATGACTGCTGGTCAAATTCTTCTCCCAGAGAGATGGTGCCTATAAAAAGTGGCATATAACTATACAAAACCGCACAGAGCATCAGCAGGTATAAATTAGCCTTGATTTAGCAACTCCCATCACTCTACACACTTTTTTTGCCATATGAGGGTCTATCTGTTAGTACAGGCACAGCCTCCTCTGAACATAACAGAGAAATAATTAGACAAACGCTTTGAATAACAAAATGCAGGTAAACAGCTTCCCTCACCTAATTATCATGCTCTAATTTACAAGCTACTGAAGCATGTACACAGTAATCTTTTCATTTACTTTGAGGCAATATGCCCAAAGGAACCTGTCTTATCACCACTTAATTACTCCTGTTTACCCGTTAGCATTAATGATCTAATGTTCTAGCAACAACTGTAATGAGAGCCTTGTGTCAAGAGGGAAATATCACTAGAAACAAATGCATCCCAGTTTTTCACTATTTGTCATTTTTAACTAAGGATAAGCTCTGTTGGAATCACTAAGTTGGATAATTGATCTTTTCCCCGATGACTAATTTTCTATCAGTAAGGAGCTGTTTTATCACAACCTATCTGTTGAGAAGAATTGCTTCTCTCCAATTATTGTTTGTTTTCTGCCTTCAGATACCTCTCTCAAGATGTGTTTATCAAGAAGTTTTCTGTATCTGTAACTGCAATATCACTACACCATATACTCCATAATGCATGTGTAGTCTAAGGTGATATAATTTTTTTATTTCTTTAAATATCAAAGAAGTTACATACTTGGTCAGCTTTCTCTTCTTTAATCCATTTTTACTCCTGTAAAAAAAAAAAAAAAAAAAAAAGAAGTGTTTTTCATTCATTGAACTGTTGTATAGTCTTTATTCAAAATTAGCCCTGATTTAAGAACATATGCTTTCTGGTCACCATCATACTCAGGATGAGATTTGTGATAGTATCCCGGATAGCAAAATTTTCATTGACACCAACGGGATGCTTTTATCCATTCTGTGGCTCTGAGAACGACCTGCTTGTGAAAGGGAAGACCTGTGCCCAACTCAAGCAATGGGTCCTCTACAAACCCTGACCCAACAGCACTGTTGGCTTCAGGTGGGCCAGGGCTGAGACCCCGTGGCGCGGGCCCAGCCAAGCCTGGCAGGGGGCTGAGCTCTTCCAGGGAACGGGGCACCAGGTGCCCCCTGGGCTGCTCCGCTCCAGCTCTAGAGAAGCATCTGTTGGGTAAAGGGAGAAGACCACCACCGGCAAATTGAAGGAAGGGTGAAGGAAAAAGGAAAGGGCCTGAACACTACTTCTCACCCGTTCCATAACCTGCTTATGATGATCAATGAAGGCAATTGCAAATATCCTACTCACTTCAGCGGGACTCAAGCTTAAACCTTAGATAATTTTAATTGACTTCTAACAGCCAGAGATAATTATGCCAGTCATATAATACACTGTCTTCACATGAGTTATAGTGATATAATTCACTAGGCACAGCTGTGAGCCAGCTTATGAGTGTGTTAAGCAGTATAACCCATAAGACATAGACTTATGAACTACACTACGTCAACTACCACCACGTGTTTCTTTGGAGGGATGTCTGTGTTCATTTTCTTGTTGCCACAAAAAAGTTAAGCAATCAATCAGATTAAATCCACAAAGCGAGCACCCTGGAATAATTTGGCTAGAGGTCTGAAAACACTGACCCCCTCTGTTAAACCAGCCAAGAGCAGAAATAGATTCTTGCTGACTCAGAAGGGATTTTAGTAGAGTCTGTCTTTTTTTTTTTTTCCTGGACATTAAACAACATCTGTTCCTTCATCACATTATAACGATGCTATTTTTAATTTCATGATGATATTAAAATGATTTCTAGATAACTTTGGTCACAGATCCAATTAGTAAATTAAAGGTGAAGACTTAATTTCAAAACAATGAAAATACACAAAAAGAAATATTAAAAAGTGGAATATTTTTATTTTTCTACCATGCTAAGTTTAGAAGTGAAATTTAAAAAAAAAAATATTCATTTCCAAAATTAAGTTTTACAAAATGTTCAGGTTTTTTAAGCAGCCACACTGGTAGTAATTTTGTTATCTTGTCAAGCTGCATTTCCATTTAGAAATGCAGGAGCTTTGCCTGCAGACTTAACAAGAGCTATAGCAATACCAGCTTTACACTAATGTGGAGATTTACTTTGCAAATATTACAAACATCTTCAGCCTACCATGTTAGCTATGCAGATACTATCTGTATAGTATCTGTACATTCATGTGTTCTATATACATACCCTAGTAGTATTTATTCTACATCGTCAAAGATTTTTTCCAATGAAATCTTAAAATTAATTCTTCTAAATTATTCAACACATTTCTGTCTACTGTGACTATGGTAAACCTTTTCATGTCGGGCACATTGGAATTATTTCAAAAGCAAAAAATATCTAAATGCTGTTTATAATGGGAATGCTTCTAAGAACACTTCTCCAAGGAACACTTCAAGAGGCAATAAAACAAATGATTGACATCCATTTCTCAGCACCAATTTCTTGTGCCTCGACAGTCTCAAGAGGCCTTTGTTTCTTAGCATTGCAATTGTTTCCTGAATGTTCATAAATGTTTTAAAACAACTTGCGTGCAAAACAAAGACATTTGAAACATTCGCTGGTGTTTCATCTGTTCTTCCATTTACCCTACTAATGAAAATACAGAGGGATTAATCTCATCTCTTTCAACTTCAGCTCCTTTGAACTTGGATATCAAGACTCAACTAGATAGCTTGATTGAAGAGGAAATCTCTGAAGACAGACACATATCTGGAAAGGTGAGTTAATGCATATTAATGCATATTAAACAAAAAGAGGCAAAGGGGCAGAAGAAGATGACACTCTTTTTGCAGCAGTGCCATTGACAGTGGCCATCTTGGGCTTCTTGACCATTAGTGAGCTAAGAGAGATCAGTGTGACCTCCACAATAATAAACCGCTTGCCTGATCCTCCAGCACTGTGCAGCTCCCATCGCTGAGTTTACGTTAGACAAGTTACAAGTCAATACGATACCAGCATTGGAGAGATGTGGAAGACTTCTATCTACTATTCAGCTGAGTGTGTGTGGAGAACATGCTTTTATTTCCATGGGAGAAGAAAGGGACCTTTCTTTAGTTACATAAACCCACTCATTTCTGCGCCCACCGAAAATTGAGCTGAGTTTTTCTACAGACCCAATGTGACCCAAGGAAAATCAGTGTGAGAAACCCCTGTGCTGAGAATCTCGAGGACTGCCTGCCAGAACTTTGGTGCAGTATGGTAACATCAGGGAAAACATTTGGTCAAAAGTAAATCTTAACTTCATACCACATTTCTGCAAATCACTATACCTTGGCCTCAAGACCATCAGGAACTTAAGTTTCTTTTATATAAATTAAGCTTTTTTAGTTCATAGTCAATTATAATTATTTGTTAAATGCTTTGTAAAACAGTTGTGGTTCTAAATAGACCCTGGGGCTTTGTTGGCTAGGTATTTTCAGAAAAAACAATTGGATGCTTGCTAAGTCTTTATAAATTATTTACAGACTAAACTACTAAATATCACACATGCACAGAGAAGTGCAAGTAGTGACCCATTTTTTACACTTTGGGACTGCTAGTTTGTATCGATTCTCAGTGAACTGTTATTTCCAAAAGCAAAACTTTTACTGATGTTAGGAGAGCAGAACCGCACCTTTAAAAACTAAGGTATTTGACTTCACACACCAAACAGGTGGGGCATGATCAAGCAATTTTAGTAATAGAAAAGCAGCAGCAGCAAGCAATGGCAGGCAATGAACAGATAAATAACTGGGACAGAAGAAGCCAGGACTCATAGTGAAGTGGCAAAAATTGCAAAGAGAGCAATGAGATGAATATGATGACCGCCACAAGATTAGCTTTTTAATACCAAAATGGGTTGGCGCATAACCAGACAAACTAGATGAAGCAGGGTAGCAAATACTTTGATACCCACATCCTCTCCAATCCATATTCTAGTACAAGAAAATTATATTTTCAAGAGCTTTGACCTGTTTGAAAACAAAGGTATCACACATTTTTCATATAATAGAAATTATCACTGTTTACACATTGCATATGGAAAAACAAGTAAATCACTTACCAAGGATTAACATAAAATGCCAAAAGATAATCAGTCCAAAGGCATGAGGGTAGCAGAGTTAGGAAAGCAAATACACTTCTACGCCTGTGAGCATTAATAAATAACATACATAAAGATGAAAAAGTGAGGAGAGTTAGTAAGACAAACAGAAATCAGGAGATCAGCAAATTCTATTTTAAAAATCAGCTAAACCCATAAAGGCTTCCTCTTACTTATTTGATAAGAATATTATTAGCACCCATAGAATTTTTACTCCTCAACCTGACACCCTATGCAGGATTTTCAGCTATCCAACGTAAAATTCTATATGATCAAAATTAATGTGTTTTATGGTATTGATTCAGGCCTGTTATTCTAAATCAATGTTAATTGATAAGTTGGCAGATTTTCAGAGTAAAGTGTGTTTGAAAATTTCATCCACAAGTTTATGGCCGTTACATAGCTGATGCTAAGTCTATTTTCTGACGTTTTGAGATATTTCAAGACAGACATAGTTTGTTTTTACAACTATGATAATCTCCCATGTTTGCTCCTGCAAATGATCCTGTGGATATCATATCACCTGTATCAGAGATAAATTCAGATCATTCCAATATCTCTTAATACCCTCTAATGAGTCAGATTTCTCAAAACATCCCTATAAGATTTTGCAGAGTCCCTTTTTTAAGTGCTTTAAGTTCTCTCCTAGGTTTTCAGCAAAACATTATTTGAACTTCTAATTATGGTTTATATGAATAACTATTTATAGCAGGTTTCATTGTGGCTAAAGGAAATTTGAGTACAAAGTCACTCTAAACTTCTGTATTTGCAACCTCATTACCAGATTCTGCTCTGCATTAATCCAGGAAACACTCAGGCCTGTTCTACCTATTGGTGGAGTGGGACATAGGTACTTTGCAAATGTGAAAAACTCATGAAACTTAATAAAAAATTGTCCTGGTAGTAGGACTTTTGACCAAATACACACTCAAGTGTGGTTTTTTTCCCCATCAGAAAATCTGCTGTCCTAAAAGCAATTACCATCCTTCTACAACTGTTCTAAAGAACCACAAAGTGAAATTTCCTTTTCCGGTACGCTTGGCCATTACGAAGTCAGCAGATACTGTTTTTCCCGATAAGTCAGACATGTCAATCATAATAATTTCTAGTCTTAGTCTTCCAACCAGTGGTGGAAAACTTCAAGTTATGCTTTAAAGAGTTTTGCTGCTGAAGAGAAAATGGGCAGCACGGTTTCTGCAGGGCACCTTCCCCAGGCGTTGCCAGGGATCGTGCGGGTCAGCCAGATGCAAGAGCCCTTTCTAGTTAATCATACGCCATAGTGGCTGCAGGATCAGGGACTTAGGGCTTATCTGTTGTTAGGGTTTCTATGGGTCTAGACTGAGGATGAAATTTGGATTTCCATAAGCAGATCTCTGGTGCCACAGAGAGGTTTTCACTAAGCTTAGAAGAGAGAACCAATGATGATGCCAGAATACTCTTCTTGCCTTTGGAAAACTCTCGGTGACGTTTTCCAGAGTTTTTACTCCCTCTTGCCTACAGAGGCAGATGGAATTATTGAAGCCTGGGTCTTCTTTCGTTATCAAGTTATCACGTGAAATTTCCACACTCTATCAAATCACAGGCTAACATGCTTGCAGACGTACTTACATTGTTTACAGATTAGATATTACAGATTTTCCAACATTGAAAACATCTGATTTTATTCAACATATAAAAAATACGTAATTGCCCAATAAATGAAATATTGTTTTCCTAGAAACATTAGATTCTTTTACCTACTGCTGAGGTGTACTGAAAAATTTTATTTAATTACAAGAAAGAGATGTAGAAATTGCTTAAATCAAATCTGCTCAGCTGAGATTTCCCTAGGAATCAGTGGATACACCCATAGCTCCCTTACCAGATCCTTGCAATGACCCCAAGGCAAAACAGGTTTCTTAATCCTTCTACCTGTCTTTAGAGCCATATTTCCTGTTTGGCTGCCTGGACAGACAGTGAATCTGGTCATGACATTAGATGACAGAGGCACACAAAACAAGGTATTGTTACTAACTCTCAGAGAAATCAAAACCCTACGATTAGGGCACACTGCCTTCAGCTACCAAAAATTTGTGGAGATATTAAGCAGGAGTATTTTCCCAGTTTTATATTTTTATAGCATAATTTATGTATGTATATATATATGCATATATATACACCTATATATACACACACATATACTAAATCAAGCAACAAGAACCTTCACTTTCACATCCAAGCCTATTAATTAATTCCCCTTCTCATAAAAAAAAAAAAAGCCTTTTTATGCTTTTTAATAACATCTGTTGCTAGTTTAATCATTTGATTCAAGCTTGGATATTTAATTAAACATGAGTGTTTGATCTTTTGCCGCCTTTGCCATTAATAGAGTCCAAGCAAAAGAAGCTGTAAGAGAGATTAGTTTGTACTGCATACAGCTGGCTGCTATTAAAGCTGAACCAAGCAAGTGAAGCTTGTTTAATATCCAGTTAATTAGCAGCACAGTGAGGTATTGACAAGATTTGCTGGGCTTGTTAGTTCAGTTTGCACGCTTATTAGCAAAAGGCTTGTTGTGGTGCAGTGTCAAACCATTTAATCCCGTCCTTGCTGGCAGGCTGTGTCCCGTGAGATCATGGAAGCAGTTCCCTGTGCACCAACTCCTCTTTCCAACTTCTTGGCTGACAACAAAGCTGACCATGGGTGTAAAACCAAGGCTTGTATTTTCTGCTTCCTACATACTGCAATAGGGCTTTCGGGGGCTGATTGTGCTTTTAAATATCTGTGTTTGGACTTGCCTTGAAAGATAAAAGGTTTTTGCAGACCTTGCTAATAACAAAACAGGTCAGTCATTAGCACTCATTTGATTGTCAAAATAGGAATGAAAATAACCACACTGGTACCAGTCAGGCAGATCTCAAGAGCCCTTTTGCTTCTGTAAAAGCTAATCCTATAGATGTTCTCTGTTCTAATACTCCTCTTTGGCTGATGGTGTCAGTGATGGCTTAGAGTCAATAGTCAGCACCTGCAACTTTTGTAGGTGGTTTCCTAGACTAGCAAGAATATGCCGGAGTTTTTCTGAGTTGTTTAAACAGCACTGAATGTGAAGTTACAGTAAATATTTAAGTTGGCTTCTCCTTGTCTTGCAATGCAAGGAAAAATTAATTAATTGCGCTGTGTGAAGACAGTTTCTAATTGGTTACCTGAAGGCAAGCTTACTCTTGGATGTAAATATATCTCTATGGAAGTGCTAATGGATTTATAGATCAAGTTTCTACACTTGTGTTATTTTAGGAAATATGTCTGTAAAAGAAAGGAAAAAAAATCCTGCCAAAACACACCTATGCAACTTGGTTGACATGTATATACATCATTCCCTACTAAAAATAGCAGGTGACAGAATACATAGTCTTGAGTCATCATTCAAGAAATAAAATACTAAAATAACAGGCACAGTAGTTTTATCTTAAAGAGGGATAGTAATGTCATGAAAATTAAGCACTTAAGATTAAAGATAATATTTGCCAAAAAGCAGAGATGGGGAAAAACATAATTAAAAACTTTGCTTCAACCACTCACCAATTATAGGGAAGTTTTCCATCTCTCTCTAAAGATGCAAAATTGACAAAGGTTCCAGCTCCGCACTCCCTGTTTCAGGAAGAGCATTGGGTACAAAGTTACCATTTTTGGATTTACAATGCTTGCGATGACATTGATTTAACCGACGGCTCTGAGTTGCAGAGAAGTACTGAGCACTCATATCTGTGACTAGGTCTGAGATATTCTGTGATAAACATAACTGAAATCCCTTAACATGGTCCTCCAAAACCAATAAGTATTCAACACCACGTGAGATTAGGTTTCCTAATAATGCTTAAAAGAGTGAAACAAGCGAAAAGATGCTAAGACCTCAAATAGACCTCCATCTTCTGTCCAGATTTGGGCTTTCTATAGTCTGGAGCTAGCGCTGGTTGCTGGCCTCAGTACACATGTTAAATATTTACCTTTCTATAGTGAATACACACTGTCTCAATTCAAAGGAGATGTGTAATTGTCTCCATTTGACAGGAGCATGGTAATTTTGAGTTCACAAAATAATTGTGAAAACCCCTGAATTTCCTGAATAACGTTCCAGTGAATTTATCACAAGTCTATTATTTTCAGCTACAAATGATAAACTGATTTTTGATTCCTTGATCTAAGCAAACAATTGCTTGCAGCTTCCCACTGGATTTACTTTTTTTAATTTCCTCTTGGGGTTTTTATCTTCTGTGGCTAGAAGCAGTGATGAAGAGAAAAAGGAAAAGCTTTGGGTTGCCTGCACAGTAATTAAATAGGAAAGAGAATTAATTTAGCTGGGATTTCACAGTTCCAGTTACATGCAAAGGAACAAACCATTGAAAGAGATGGCCTGCAAAATCTATGTGGTGTGATTATCTGTTGCACAGAATACATAGCCAAGACACAACACGTAAAATGCAGTGCCTGCTATGTAGTCAAGTGCAAGATTCTGTGCATATTTTTTTTTACAGGAAATCATTTCCTTTCTTGACACAGGACAGTAAATTAATATAAAATATATGACACAGATTATAAAAGGATGAAGACTCCATGACACTTCCAAAACCTGGAGGTGAACCACATATCAAGGGTTTGGAGAAACCTCCACAGTTCACTCAGGCCAAAGTATAATATTAAAGTGAACTGTTATGGGTAAGACCACCAGGAAAACAAAGCTGAACTTCAACATTCAGGTAAAAACGATTGGTGCAGATAGCTTAAGGAGCCACAGGTTCTGTAAAAAAACAGTTTACTCCTACAAGATATTTTTTCCCTTCATCTGTTTGACAGAACAAATTGAGATCATTAATGTTTTAGGTGAGCAGCAGGACCTGAGATACCTTCTCGATTTGTGGGTCTCTGTATATTTGGCTGCATCCTGACTGCATAGAAAGACAAGATCTAGGTAAGCCTATATGTTCTTTCCCATGCTGCAGTTCCCATAAGAAGGATGTCCATGTGAATGCAGAAGTTGGACAACTGGAAGACCAGGATTTGGGGGCAGACTGGCACATGCTCTAGAGAGAGGCTCTCAGGGCCCTGGGCACAACCTCCCTTGTCCTGAGGGTTTGGCTGCCAGGGCTCAGGCTTTATATGGTCTCTGAAATGCAGCATCCCGGACCTGATGAACAAACCACCTTATCTGTTGATATGGAAAATCTCCTGTTCCAAACCATATGAAAGATTTGCAAAGCATCTTGATGTCCTGCTCATGCTTGGTTGCCTCACATCCTAATTATCCTTTAGGTTCCTGACACAACCCTTTTGTAATAAGTGACTGCACTTCTTAGAAACCAAATCTTGCAAAGCTCAAAATGAGACAAAGGTTGAGGCTTACAACTCAGGTCAAGAATGAACGTAGAAAGAGGGAGAAGGCATGCTACATCTAAATAGCAGCAAGACATCTATTTTGAAGGTATCCTGTTCACAAGCATCTCAAGCAGTACCCATGCACACAAGCATCCTCAATTGCAACTACTGTCATAATGTGCTTGTTATTGTCTGAAATTTTTTGAATTAGCATAAATCTGGACTTACCTGGCCATTTGTAGATGTTTCCTCCTGAGTACAACAAGAGTCACCAGCAGCAGTCCAATCAGAAGGATACTTAGGATGGCTAACACGGAGATTACCACTACGTTGGGATTCATCTCGGTGACTGTGCATACAAACAAGGGCTCTTGGTTATTCAATTCAGAAGCACTGACAGTTTTGTTGTTTTTTTTCTTCCCCTGAATGTTGATAGTGTTATTTTTCTGAACTGATCTCATTCAGCCTGGAGTGTTACAGAGAGAAAAATCTACGACTGGAGGTAAAGGGAGGTTTTGACTAATTATTGCTCTTACAAAATTTCTGTGGGGAAATGAATTCATTCTGGCATTTTGTTAAACTTTGGTACATTCTGATTATTTTCTTCCTTTTTAACTGACATTCATAACACATCTATGTCTCCAAAGCACATTTCAACTCTGAAGTTGTTGTTCAACAATAATCAATACCTTTTCTGACCCAAAAGCAGAATACCAGGCTGAGGCTCTGTAATACACTGGGTCGAAATTGAATTACTTTGGCAATTACTTGCAATTTATTTTGGCAAATAAATTTTAACAGACTATTCTGCTTTAAATAAGAACTGGAATCAACTCTCAATAGCAAAACCTTGATCTATTTTTGTTCCATCTTACATGCTTATCAACTGTACTACTATGAGACCAGATAGCCTGTTCTGCTCATTATACAAGAAACTCTCTCTACTTTACTTGCTCAGAATAACTTTACATCCACAGTTGTCTAGAGAAGCATTTTACAGATTAAAAATCATGGAGATTTTTAAGCTAAGTATGAGATGCTGAATTGTCTGGATGGAGTGCTGTATGATGTACAGGACCGATGACTAAAGCTACACAACTCCCTAACTAAGCAGAGATGACACTGATCATTCTAAAGGGGAGATTTTAAAGAAAACTCCAGTGTTCTGGGCAGTTCAACACCAATAGTCTTTCTTCAGAGTCAGTATAGAGCGAGACTTCACAACATGCCCAGGGATTCTCCATCAGGAGCTATCCCTTCAGGGCGTGACTGCTCAAGACCCTGTGGTGGCCCTTGTCCTTCTCTCTCCCCCTGTCTCCACTTCCACACTGAAAGTAGAAAGCAATTTTTTGCCTTAGCAGCTTATAAATGTGATTTTTCTCTTGTTTGGGCTTGGCCAAGAAGACATTTTTCTCCATAAATGTCATCAAGCAGTTCTCTGATGTTCAGCCGTGACACCACAAACTAGGTCCCTGATTTCTAAAACCCAGTAGAGAATTGAGCCTCTAGTTTATATTTTTCCAAGTCAACTCCCCAGTGGGGATTTTTCTAAGAACTTTAAAAAGTTGCTTCCTCATCCCATCCGCATCTGGCAACATTTATGTGACACAAACAACCCCCAGGGCCAGCATTACCAAGAGCAGCTTTAGAAAGCTAGGAGAAACAGATGTAGCTGGAGGAGGAAGAAAGCAGGGAAGTGGTGCTTACCCATGGTGGAAACTGCAATGAAAGTGGGGATGCTGGGGCTGTTGTGGCTAAAGGTGGTCACACTGCAGTTGTAGGAAGTGGCAGGGGTTAGGCTGGAAATGGTCACCACATGTGAAGAGACAGTGATAGGTTCCTGCAGACATGGGGAAAAATACACAGAAGTTTCTCTTTCCTGTAAATGCAAGAGCACAAATCAGTACTCCTCTCTCCACTCATACATTTGACTAGGTAAAGTCAGATCTGGTGAAACCCAGGGAAGGTATCCAGGGCCTGCCTTTGAAAATAGGCAGGTAGCCCAACAGCCTGGCAGAAGATGGGAGAGGAAGAAGGGTGAAAACAACAGTGGGAACCACCCAGAGCACCCCAGAAAACCCCAGGGCCCCTTGGAGAGGGCAAGAGGGTGCCTCACAGGGGGCTGGTCAGGCACACGCTTGGTGGGGAAAACGCTGTGACTCCCGGGACATCCCCAGAGGTGGGCAGAGCTCATGAGCTCTGGTTACTAAGCCGTACAGGTAGGAGGAAAACAAAGTTATTTTTATTGAAAGTGCAGCCAAGGCTGCCACAGACTCTGCACCCTCATATGAATATGAGGCATTTCTGCCTCTGAGACGGTTCCTCAGGACGTGAAGAGCCATGAGCCTTTCACATGGCCAAGGTGAAAAACAAAGCTGGAGCAAAGCCTTTGGGTAATAACCATGATCAGATATCCCACACTTCCGTTTTTTTAGCTAGTAAAAACTCTTTACATAATATATATTTATACAATGCTTTAATTACTATGTCCCTGGTAAAAACTTTTGTGTTTTATAAATGCTGATACAGCAAAAGAAAACAAGTACAACACATGCATTGACATCCTTAAGGTCCTCAGAAGCTTTTCTGTACTTTCCAACTAAAGGTGGGCGGCAGATGCAAAAATAGGGACATTGATCCAGTGGTTTAGAAAGGGAACAAGGAGAGGTTTTATGAATGAACTCACTCCAGATGGGGAGTGCAAGATCCTGTAGCAAGTCCTGAGCACCAGATTTTTGCAGTGGCCTGTTGTCAGTCATGGGCCCCTTCTAGGCTAGCAAGGGTTCCTGTCGCAGTGCAATTCTGAGGTACATTACACAGATGAAATCACACGTACATGAGTGTAAGGAAGGAGACTTTTATTCCCTGAGCTGAAAAGAGGGGCCATAGATTGGCAATTGGACTTGGTTGGATGTTTTCCATTTTCCCCTCTGGGAAATTTAAATTAGTCACGCTAAACCCAAGATGTTCAACCTGGAAAGTTGTTGCTTTTCATTTTCCTGATTTAAAAATGGAGGAAAGGGACAAAAATGTTCATGTAGTTAGCATGGAAAATCACAAGTGAAGAAATTTCACCAGTTTAGTGGGAAAGCACCCCTTTTTATAGTTCAAAAAGGAGCCCTTTCCCTTTTTTTCATAGAGGCAGAAAAGGGAGTGACGAATCTAATGAGAAGCGAGCTGACAATCTCTGTGCATTTCCTAGTGCCAGATGTTCACGTCAACAAACCAGACACCCACTGAAGCTCCTGCCAAACGGAGCAGTCTTTTCCTGATGTTCTTAAAACAGATCTGCTCTGCACTAAAGCTGCAAATCCTGTTGTACCTTCCTTGCCTGATCACATCATTATTTTGAATCTCTGCTAAGTGGATAATGACTTCACAATCTTTAGCTATTCACTGTGAAAAAGTAGGAATCTAGATGGGGAATCCAAACTATCCAAAAGATAAAAGTGCATTTAAACATATTTTTTTTCCTTTAGTCAGTGCCTTTCTCAATTTAAAAAGAATAATAAATAATTCAGACCGGTCTTCCATAGGATTAAGAGTGTATATGTCTCTTTTGGGATAATCAGTGGTCTGAGTGGGTTATTTTTTACTTTTTTTCTGAATGATTTCCCATTATGTGTGACAGTCCACATAAGAGAATGATATTTCATGGTACGTAATCACAGTGATTCACTATGCCATCAGCTAAACTGCAAAGTAAGCCTCAAATGTTGCACAGCATTGAATGTCAAGGAAATAAAAGTACTCCTGCTCTATTCTTCACTGAACAATGTTAGCAATCTAAACACTCAGATATTCAGGTGGCCTCTGAGCACAGGTACCTAACTGAACAGAGAGAAGAGGAGGTTCATTTGTGAGACAGAGAAGGTGGGTCTTGAAGGAAGTACCCTAAGAGACAAATTCCATGAGGAGCAGCCACATTTGCAGCATAAAGATGTGCTTTGAATAGCAGTGATGGTCCTACTGAACTTCAGTTCTCAAAACCAGGCATAAAGTAAGTCAGAAAAAATTAAATGCTGCATAAAAGATCTCATGAAATCTAAATGTCTATTTTTCCCATTCCTTATCAAGCTACCTGTGCATTTTTTCCCTTCCTGCCCATTGACATTCCCTTAGTTTTGTGGCCTTTTAAGTTTTGTACTGTATATTGGAGCCATTTTCATGACTAGCCAAAGAATGACACCCTGTTGGATGCACATAGCTTCCATCCAACTAGTTATAATCTCATCAATAAGACAGAAGCCAATTTTAATATTGCAAAATAATAAAATATTTTAGTATTTGAAATGCTTTAACAGTTTAGCTTTTAAAGGTTTAATTCTGAACCACCTTACCACATTTGGGTCAATAATCTAACCTGTGCACTGAGAGTAAAATGTCATTGGGCTTTACATGCAAACGCTAAGCAGCAGGCAACAAACCAGAAAGATGCAAGGCCCAGTCTCTCAAAGAAGAATGAAGAGCAGAAACCAAAGAAGAGACACTTACATACCTGAACTTTTGTTTCCTGACCAGATCCAGCCTGCTGGCAGTAGACTTCAAAGAAATCGGCCACTCCTTCTTCCACCCACAGCAGAGTCACAGAGGTCTGAGTCTTGTTGACAGCAAACAGTGATTTTGGAGGGGCTGGTTCTGGTTAACAGAAAATCTCCTTTTATTAAGCTTATCTTTAAGATTCTGGACAACTGAGAAGAGGAAGCCGCAAACAAATATGACAGCAATGCCTGATGCATTGATCTGTCATTTCCTTCAGACAAAGCCAGCCAATGTAAAGCCCTGCCTCCCATGATGATAAACTGCTGCTGTAAAATGGGAAGATAATTAAGTGTCTTGGTTTTTCTTCTTTATTTAAACTGTTCTGTATTTGGACAGTTGGATAATTATTTCACTTCCCTTTTCAACAGAGCTCTTGTTTGAGGATGATCAGCGTATTCTATTAATAGAATGATGTTAACAGAAGCTCTTTCGGGAGAAGATGGCTGTTCATCTGTTAGCAACACTTTTGGCCAGAGAAAGTTTTGCTTCACAAGGCCTGTCCCAGGAGATGATAAAGCAGCAGCTTCCCACAAATGAAGACCATCTAGGTTCATTTAATTGTAGCAGAAGGAATATTTAGTCAATTAGCAGTTTTTAAAAAATCTTGTAGTCTGTTGCTTTTGTTTTTTTCTAGGCTAACATTTAAGGTCCATTGGGTCATTCATTTCAGTTAGCTGCTGGAGCTTTCTCTCCTCACTGAATGCAGAGGTCCACATTTCAGGTGTCTTCAATTTATTGCTTCAATTTTTGTTGCTGTTGCGCTGGATGAACAGGCAACAGCGAAACATATACAAGGGACTGGGGTTCCTACATGGTGAGGAGGAGACAACCCCGTGATAGGACTATTGGGGGTCTCCTGGGAGAGATGGCATCAGAGATACTGTGAAACATGGACAAGGGTCTGCACGTAGCACCCCTGACCCCGCATGGGGTTGCCTCGGCTATCCCCTCCTGGGCCACTTCCCCACCCGCGAACCCCGGTGGGGGCTGGGCTGCGAGAGGCCCACGGGAGGCCATGCTGATGTCCAGCGGAGACCACCCCTTAATGCAACCCTACCTGAACCATGGAAAGGACAGGAGAACAGGAGGGGAAACCTTGAGGAACAGGGAGACAAAGCGAACAGCCTAGGCACAGTGTTAAGATGAGATATACTTTTTTCCCCCACCAGATTATTTAAAGACCAAGGCTTGATCCTGATGTTCATCCTGAAGACTTCACACAATGGGTACTTGCAACCCCTAGCTTTCAATACCTCAGGCATCCTGGGGTCCTTTGGTTTGCCTTCTGAGAGTGCAAAGTTTGGGCTGTACCTTTCCAAGATGTTCTCCAGAATTTTCAGATTTCCTAATCTATGGACGTTTAACGAAAGTTGTCATTCTCAAACAATGAACTGATTCCAGGATCCTGATGCACTACATACAATGTGATATGTATAACGACATTTTGGTCTTATTTTTTCCCTTCACAAATAATTTGTTATTCTTCTGGGAGATGCTGTCACAGGAGCCTGGACAGGTTGTCTAAGATCCGCCACAAAAAACTTGGCACCAAGGACTTGCTCAAGTGGTTATAGACATTTTGGAGACGTATCTGATCCTCAGACAATCGGATCAGTGTTCTAGGTTTAGAGGCTGCCAAGATTATATTGGCATTAGGGAGAGTGTTGAGGAAAGCAGGGTAGGGACTGAGGAACATTCACGTGCCTTCTTCTGTGTCACGGGGATTGCAGTGCACATGTTGTCCCAGAACTACATAAGGAAAGAGTCCTTCTCCCTTAATTACACACATATATCTGCTCTTGGATTCAGAAACACATTCCATGCCTCGCTCCAGGTAAAGAAATGGCCTCAATTAAAATATGAGTTTTGCATTGGGCATCATCCCAAGCAAATCCTCCTTTTGCCTCCAGCAAATGGCTTGATTTTTCTGCAAGTGGAAAGTTGCCAGGATGAAGCAAACATCATGGAGGGAAGAACATTTGGCAGGAATGATTAAGTGACTGCCAAGTGCTGAGTCGTCTATCACTTAGAGTCAGTTCCCACTACTGCTAATTACAACTCCCATTGCTCCCTCAGAAACAGAGAGAAGGAAAACCTCCAGTAAAATACCCTTACTATTGCCTATTCAAAGTGCAAACAGCATAAAAAGAAAAAAAAAACAAAAACCAAAAAACACCAAAATACCAAACCAAAATACAACAAACCAACAAAAAACAACCACCAGAATTCTAGAAGTGATTTATCAAAAAGGAATTCATTCCACTTTCTCTTTGTTGACAATGAAAGAGCAAAATAACTATACCAGTTCATTAAGAGCCTGCCTGTCCATAAGCAAAGAACAGGAAGATACAGCTAGGCTGCAGGATGTACAACATGAATAATACATGGCACTAATGGACCTGTCTGAAAGATAAAGCAAGTTGATATTGTGAAATACCCCTCTAAAATATTTGGACAATGGTAGCAGGGGGGACATACTCACCCTCACACATCCACCCACTCAGTCCCACGAATGAACACACGCACCTAATTATGCACAGATACAAGGCATGGGGAAAACAGTGGACAGGGTTTGCACAGGGAAGAGAAAATCTGTGGAATTTGTCTACATCTTTCAAATATTCCCTTTGGTGAAAAGACCTGGAAGAGCTTCAGATTTTTGTGGCTGTACTGCTTGCCCCAGTGCTGTTTAAGAGATTTGAGTAAGAGCTATTGAGGAAGACGAATAGACAATGATTGCTTCAAGACCACTAATTCAATTAGAAATTATTGAGCCCTTTAAATTCACTTCTTTCACTGTCACCCACAAAAGGTTTATTATGCATGTAGAGAAGATAATTTAGTTTGAAATTACTAACTCTTCTTTACCCACCTTCACAGCGCAGTTAATGCCTGTAAAAGCAGTTAGGCACACTTCAAAATTTCACAGCTTTAGGTACCTAGTACTCAATAATTCTATGTGCATGCACAAGTGAAGTAAAATCTCTTAGGGTACAATGGTGTGATGTATAGTCTTCCTCACAGGTAAAGGAAGATGTTGGGCAGGAAGTTATATTTTCAAGTCCTACCTGAAGAATTAAGTTCTTAAGTCTTTTTTTATTATTATTGTTGTTGGGTTTTTGTTTTGTTTCTTTGAGGAAATTATACATATGTCCCTTAGAATGACGCTGGGTTCCACAACTATGAATCTGGTTGGTTTTGTGAAGAGTACTGTCATTGACTTGTATTTAAGTGTACATTTTGGGTGTTGGAAGACTATGGAAATGTCCAGGGAGAGAGGAGAGGTAGAGTGCAGACCCAGAAATAGGCTTATCGAAAACAAGGACCGTTCTGCTTTGTATTGAAAAGTTTAGCTGTGAAGCCTGAGTCACTGCTCCCAAAACCTGCCTGTGTTCAAGACCTTAGGGAAGCAACTATGGAACAGAGTTGTTCTCCCAGTGAGGCATTAAGTGATTTGCACTTTCCAACTTCCACTTACAGTCAGATTCTGCCACTCTTGCTCCTCTTGAGTAATACTATTTTAAGAAAGTAGCTTCACACACAGAAACGAGATGCTCTTCACAGCAAGGTGAGGTGAAAATTACAGCTTTGTAAAAGAAATGCAGTCCCAGGTACATGACACTGAAGATTTTGAATCTGCTGATGGAGTTGCTTTTATAGTCAAATGAGAGGAGGAGTGAGTTTGTAATTTACAAACAAGCATTTCTTACCCAATTTCACAAGCTGGGGCAGGGAAGTATTGCTGCCTCTTTCAGTACAAGCAGTCACTGAAAGGTTGTAAATGTCCCCCGGAGGCAAGCTCAACACTGCAGTCATCACATTGCGTGTTACCTACAATAATTATCAACACCAACTGTTACATATGACCCAAACCAGATATCCTTCTTGTAAAATTAATCTGGTCACTTAATATACTACAAAGAAAGTTCTGTGCATCACAGTAGATGTCTTCTGTATACTCTAGACTTGTCACATGAACCAGTTCCCACGGACACCAACTGTGGAAAGCCATGATGTTCAGCAGAATATCGCAATGCAGAGATAAGACAATCTTAGGCCATATTTTCTGTATGACCAGTGAATATCTAAGGAAGAAAGAAAATCTCCCTCATATCAACAAGAGTACTCTTGCATGTAGATTTTTCGAGCTGTGCAAAACGCTAACCAAACCATGGATTTGAGTGCATTGCAATGTTAGAGGCATTTAAATCAGATGAGATATCTCTACAAAAAGTACACAAGACACATATAGGCAGGCCTTTATACAGCCGAAGAACCTGCAAATTAAATCCAGCTGGGCAAGTCTAACACCTACCTGGCAACCTGTTGTCTTGACAATAGGTCTCAGGGCCTGACTTCAGTCATCTGCAAGTTTGAAACCAGATATGATCCAAAACTGAGCTGAGCTTCAAAAGATTGTGAACAACTTCTTATTATTATTTTAGGGGTGGGTAAGATCCCCATTTCTCCAGAGTGATGGAGAAGGATGCAGAATTCAGACACTGTTTTCAGAGCACTTGTAGACTATCTACAAAGAGCGCATTCAGTAATCTCATGCTGGTTTTCATAATCAATTTTCAGGCTGAAGCTTTCAGTTCCAAGAAGGATAGATGGTCTTGAATAAAGACTAACAGGACTATGCACATTATCTTGATCACTTGTCTAAAAACTGACCAACTTCTTCAGAGTCTTGGGAAGTACTCAAATAGTAGGGAGAAAAAAATCATCATCACTTGATTAATTTATCTATTTATTTTAATAAATCTACAAGAAAAACAACCATAATAATAATCTTAAGAATCTTAGTAAATCAGATAAAGAGAGTACATTATAGTATGATTTTTAAAGGAAATTATTTCTGAAAGTGACTAACAGAGTTTAGGAGAGCAGGTACACAATGCAGCCTGCAAACATACACCCACGTTTACAAATATGAGCAGTACCATAAAGGTTAGCTATAAACAGGTTGTTGCAGGAATTTCTTAAAGAATACCTGCTGGGTTCTCTTGTTTTGAAAATAAAATAAAGAGAAATACTCCTAAAGACATCTTTGAAGTTTTATTTGTGGATACCCTCTATTGTTAATCTGTTGTTTAATCTAATATTCAATATTCATTTTCATTTAATTTCATATTTAATGTTTACTGTATTTTATATTTATTCAATCTAATAATTTCTTACTAAAATACTATTTTACTAGAAGTGGTAGCATAAAAGTCAGATTTTTTTCCTGTAAGAATAATAATTTTAGAGAGATGACTTTTGGAAGGAAGGGAGGGATATCACAGAACAATTTTTTTAAATTCAATTGTTAGAAAACTTTATTTGGGGAGAGGAGGGAAGTGGCGTTTTCTTCCTTGTTTGAAACAAAGATCCAAATATTGGAAGCTCCTGCTGTTCAGAAATGTCATGTTTTTGATCAGTTCTACTAATAACGTAATTAGATTCATGCTGCAACAAGCTCCAGATGGGTGCACCCTGGCAGCCACTATGAATCCAACAAAAAATAGGGTGTTCCATGTAAATCCAAATAAAAATTTCTGATGAATTTGCGCTTACACTGAAAATCCACTTCCCACTCAGCATCTGCTGAGTCTTTGGCTGTAGAAGGGAAACCTTTGCCTTGAAAAAGACCAGACATTTTCTCCTTGTCAATGATTCAAAGATCAACAGAGATGTAGAAGACAGTCACAGTCCACAGGTTGTACGAAGCTACTACATATCCCCACGCCGCACTGCTCCACTGCTTTTTCAAACACTTCTCACTGTTTGTCCAGGGACAGCTCTTTTGCTTCAGGTTAAACATGTGTCTCAGTACCCTGCACAGCATGACTTTAATCCACAGCTGGAAAACTCAGATTTCTCTAAGTGATTTTTAAATATGCTCAAAGAGTTCAAGAGAATGTGCCAAGAACACATCTTAACATCGGGCAAGTTTTCTAAGTGCATACATTCTGGGTGAAATCCTCATCTCATCAGTTAGTGGAACTTGTATTTAAACAGAAAATGAAAACCACATAATTTATGAGGAGGTCTGTTTGATAAAGTCAGAAAATGGGAAGTGATAGTACCTGGTCTGAATGCACTAAAAAAAACCTCAGCCAGTAGTGCAGTCTGGTTATTATTAAATAGAAATTGAAACAAACCAAATCTGTTCACTAAAAAAATACCCTGTCTATTTTACTGTCTGCAGCTCAGAAGTTTATAAGCTATTTTTAATTTCTCACCTAAATTATCAACACTTGCGCTGGATCACCATAGAGCCATTTTGTCCACTAGCTGTTTTGAGAGCTTGAGTCTTTGGTAGTACATGCTAGCACTGTGAAATAACTTTAATTGAATCAGGCTTCTACCTGACTTGCTTAAACTTTGTACTACAAAGTTATTATCTCAGGGGGGGGGGGAAAAAAAAAAAAAAACCTACTCATACTTACACTCTTCTTGATTTTTTTCTTTCCTTCTGCAATAACCATCCAATGCAGCATCCTGGAATGAGAAAGGTCAGTACCATCTCCTCCATAGGTCCAGGTGATGTACAAAAGGTGGTTGTAGTATTCTATGGAGGTAATCTCGGGTGCCACGGGTGCTGAAGGAAGAAGACAAATGTATTACAGACGGGGTCTAACACAGTTGATTACCAAATCCAGTGATAAACTTCTGCCAAATGGTACTGTCAGGAAGAGAGTATCACAAACCTGCGGTTTTCCAAAGAACATCTTTTTGCATGAAAAGTTATGGCTACCTTTGTTGCCAGGGTGAAAGTCCCACCTTCACATAAGGCAGCCATCAGCTGACAGCCATCTAAGCATCAAGCATCTAGTCTACAAGCATGTGGTAGCTATATTATTAGGTATTATTAGGTGTTAGGTGAAGCAGCTGTTGTCCCTCCTCTTCTTCCACACACCCAGCTCCTGCCCAGTGCTGTCCCTGCTGCTGCACAGCTCAGAGTGCCCTGACGGAGCCCCACCAGCCTGTTCGATGGCTTGTCTTGCACTGGAGCTGCAAGCCCTTGGTTCCCTGTGTACCCCAAGAAGAAAGATAGCAACCTCCAGAGCAACTCCTCTCCTCTTAAAATAGGTATTTGAGTAAGAGAATTACCTCCTGGAGGTGCCTCTCTATTAATTGCAGAGGGAGTAACAGCTGATCAGCTCACCTCAATTGCCTAGTTTGGAGGTGTGGGTCCCCAGTTAGGATTTAAGTTTAAACCGAGTGGAGATCCAAAAGTGAAAGTCAGCGATTGGTAAAGAACATAACACCCTCTCCAAGGGTTATCAGTGGGATAACCTGGATAAAGCAGGGAAGTATACGAATCTGTGCGCTTGGCAGATCCTTGAGGAGCGCCAGCACAGCCCTGGATGCCAGCACAGCTGCAGGTGCCAGCAGCCGAGATGAAACGCAGGAACGACTTGGAGCTCGGGTCTGTTTGAAGGGGCCACAAGATGTCACTGCTGCTTTCACAAAGGCTTCCATGAGTTTTGCATCGAGACATTCGTTAGCAAACAGATTTACTGAAGTAATCGCTGAGAAAGGCAGCAAATACAATGCACGGACAATTTAGAGCCATTTAGAAACGTTTAGTAAGACTATTCTCTCCTATTAATCTTGAAAATGTCCTTTTGTGCTGTTGAGAGGAAGCAATGTTATTTAGTATAAAATCTTTAAAGTAATGCTTCTTTTAGAATCACAGAATCTTTAAGGTTGGAAAAGACCTCTAAGATCATCAAGTCCAACCATCAAATTAGTTGACAAATTAATTGTTAATTTCTAGACTTCCAATTCCATCCCTACACAAGGATTGTATATTCCTTACAATTTAATGTCACACCTGGCATGAATCTTACACACTAATAATAATTTCCTCCTATACTTAAATATTGATGACATACTTTCCTTTTTAATGTTCACACAGCTGTCTGCTTTATGTATCTGGCAATGAACATCCAGGATATCTCAAAATAAGGGCCACGGCTTGCACAATCGTCTCCTCCAACACATCCTGCTGCTGACCTGGCCTGAAGTGACACCTGAAAGCATCCACGGGACCAACAGACAGCAGACATGGTGGTACTCGCCAACACCAACAATCTGTCTGTCTTACTGGTTTTGCCTCTCCAAAGCTAAAAGCATTCTCATTGTAAAAGAAAATGTTGGTGGTCTAAAGCGCCCTCACTCATGATTGCTTTAAATCCAGCTGTTTACAGCAGGTGGCATTAAAAACTCATTAGTCACCACAGCAACACCGGCAGCGCCACAATCTCTCCCTGCGTAAAAACAACAGCGTGCAACTGTTGCTGCAGGAGCCCAAAAGACCAAACGCCGTATCTGGTAAGTCTCTGGGAACCCCCCAATCTCCCCCATTCTCTTCGGGACATCTGACCAGTTGTCGTGGCAGAGAGCTATGTATCACCTGGTCTTTTCTAATACCCTTTTCATTCCAAGCGCTGCAGTTCAGTAAAGCCCCAGCTTGGCTGCAGACTCCACGTGAGCAGTGGGATCCTGCATTAGGGAAATGGTTTGTCTGCTCTGAGCTTGCAGCAAGGTGTGGTCCCAAACTCCCAGATGATCCTTCTGCTTTGTTCTAAAAAATCAAGCTTACGTTCTGGTGCACAGGTTAGCTTTCCAGTTATACACAGAAGAACTGACAGACAGTGTACTGTCAAGAAGATTACAAAACCTTCGTTCTAGTATTTTAAAATTTAGGGCTTTTTCATGGTCTTTTTGTTTGTTTAATTCCTGGCAACCTGTGCAGGGGAGGTAGCATAGTTCAGAACGATGCAGAAAGGGACCAAGTGCTCCATAAAACCATCTGTTCCCTCTCTGGAAAGAAAGGGGCTGAGAGTGATAGAGAACCGTGCAGTCCCCTGGTAACTTGAAAGACTGAAAAGGCAGCACCTACTGGGGACAAACATTTCAAACCTGCAGACATGAAAAATTGGCATGCCACTTTCTGGCAAGTCAGTCTGACAGCAGTCCCTGGACAAAGAGTTTTCAAGTAATAAGGCAATCAGATGACAGGACTGTATTTAATGCTCAAATTCAATGCTGACCATCTATTGATAAACGCCTGTAATTTGATCAAATCAGATTTGTTTGTTAGGACTCTTCCCTTAAAATGCTGTGATCTGGCTCACTGCTATGCAATGTTTTCATCAATACTCTGAAAGCAAAAGCACTGCTGACGAACCACGCAGCAAGTAAAATGGCAACTGGCAGAGGTGTGGAGGATTTGGACAGGGCTGTGATTTGAATTATTGGCCCTTATGCTGAGCCTGTTCAAACAAAATGTATTTCAAAGTGCCAGGTGCAAAGCTGAGTCTTTAGGAAAAAGGCATGCAGACAACACTTTCCAAATGACAAAATCTGGAAAGCAGCTACCCTAGGAAGGAGTTAGAAGCTACAGAATAGAAGCAAATCAACACAGACCTCCAATGTGATGCCATAGTAAATGCAATCATCTAGATGCACAAACAGGAGAGCATTGAATAGGGAGCTGATTTTGCCTCGGTAGGAGCATTCAGCAGGCTGGTATTACACTTTCAGTTTTCACATACTTTGGTAAAGACAGTAAAAATTAGAGAGGCAAAGCAGGGGAAAAAAAGTAACATGAGAAATTGCCTTACTGTGAGAGCACCTGAAGAGTTCAATGAAAGCAATTTATCAACAGAAAAAAGTGAAACTAAATTCTATATAGAGAGGGGAAAAAAGCTTTGTGTCTCTTCAATCAATAAAAGTGTAACAAGAATCATGGACTGGATACTAAAACTAGAAAAATTCAGATCAGAAGCAAAGGATAAACCTTTGATAATAAGAGGAATTAAGCATTGGTACGACTTTTCAGTTGGATATTTTCTGGATATTTTCACTTAAGACCAGATGACATTTTTGAAGAGAGGTTTTGCTGACCACAAGTGGATGACATTACCTAAGAGATTCATACATTTCTGATTTTTTCTACACCTGCTAGTGAAGGAGTTGATACATTTTTCATCTAATAGCAGGAACAGTCTTTACTTTCTCCGTACAGAGATCCAGACTGATCCTGATGATAGCTTATATTTTGGAATGACCTTAATCTCCCTAATTCCTGCTGCAGGTTTCTGGAGACACAATATTGAAGTGTGAGGGCCGTACTGGAACATTTCCACTCTAAAACGCTGAACCTGGTACTCAAGTCAGTTGCAAAGGACATTTCTCCCCTCATACAGCAACCAACCAGCTGGAAAATTGCTTCCTTATAGTGCTACAGAAAAGTTGATTGATGCCAAAGGACAATGAATATCCCTGGAGACCCTCCACGGGGCCCCGGTGGGTGCTACGAGTTTCTAATAAACTGGAGAAGTGCCAGAATTTGTTGGCCGTGCAGCTTGGGACCAGGTATCTCAGGATGGGAGTGTTTCTGATGACTTCAGTGGAGCTAGGACTTCACTCAGTAATAATTTTTCTGTTGTGGCTCTGTTGAGCACAGGCACTATATTAATCATTATTCCAAATGGGTCTTATTCCGTTCCTTCCTCAGTTCCATCCTTTTTGCCTCTCGCCAAAAAGAAAATCTGGCAGTAGGCCAGTATCTGTTCTGGAGGGAGTGGCGGGGACCTTGCAGGCTGATTTTCCTCATAATTTGATTTCTACAGCTGGAAAAGATGAGCGAGTCATACTTTATTTCCTCTCTTAGTGCATCTGAATTATTTACTGCTTTCAATCACCTTCTGCAAGGTGAATTAAACAGCGGTACATAAAAGCAAAATGACTGAATAGGGAACTTTGAGTTAACCAGCCTGGATGCTAGGAACATGTGGCGAGGCCCTAACAGGAACTGTTGTAGGGTCTTCCCTCTCTGACTAATCTGTTTGACATATTGAAGATTCGAACCCAAAGTATCTGACAAGAGACAATGGAGTGTGTTAAATGCAAGGCCGGTCCCAACTGGAAGAGTGCAATCCATGTGGTTACATCAATTTACTGTAGCTGAGGATCCGGATGACAAATGACTTGCCAGCACCACACAGTTTCCCAAGGCCAATTTACCCAGTGCGGGTGCAATGCGTTGATCACTGGAGCACCCCTCCCTCCTTACTGCACGCAAGCAAAAAACACCCCGCAGAAAAGGCAAGGCTGGAGGACAAGAATAATGCGCTACTGAACGTGCTCCTTGCCTCGGTCTGCCTAAGAGTGCGGAACTCTACCCTACGTAAGCTAAACTGTGGTTGTGGTCTGACCTGTGGATCACTGGGAGGGGAAAAGAGGAGGGAAAAGTATTGGGAAACATTGCAAATATAAGGAAAAATGTTTCATAATACTAGCAAACCTAAGAATTCAGATTACTATTTCCCATTAACTTCTCAATGTCTAAAACATACACTGTCATAAAATCCGAGCAGGATCACTGGCCCTCGCTGGAGCCCTTGCATCAGCTGATGGAGGACTGGAACAGAGTCATCAAACACTGCGCTTTGCATAGGGAAATTATACACATTAAAGCAGCCCTCAGAGCTTTCCTTAAAAAGCCACAACACAAAATTTAGCTGTTAAATACCCTAACTTGCAACATCCGAGTCAGGCTTTCCCAGCACCTCAGCTCCTGGGAGCATTTCCACGGTCTTTTCAGGCAGCTGCTTACCTGTTATGAAGCTGATGGTGGAGCTGTCACAGCAGCTCAGCTCTGGGTCCCCCCAAGTCACCATGGTGACCCGGAAATTGTAATACCAAGCAGGCAGCAGGTTAGTTATTCTCTATAAAATGACAAAAGACAAACAGAAGCTCAGGAGAAAATTCACCAGCATGAGGTGTGACTTATAAAACACGACGATATTTATAAATCCAGTGCCCATGCATGGGACCAGTTTACTGAGCTCCCACTCCTTGCAGCAGTGGAAACCTCTGTACTTTGGGATTTCAATTTATTCAAAAATCTGTACAGTGAGAGCGAACAAGGTTGTGGTGGCTCTGCTAATTACCCACGTGCACGTGGTCCCAGGTCCTACCCGCCATGGGAACCTCTCATTGATTTCCAGGGCAGCGAGAACGATTCCCGCAGAGTGATCTTCCATCACAAAATTCTGATTTGATGAAGGTAGAATATTTAACTGGGAAATGCAGGCTTTTCTATTTCAATGAAATAGGGTTTGAGGATAAATTAGAAACAATATTTTTGACTCAGAAATTGTCACTTCAAAAGACTTATGTTTTTCCAATTTTCAAAGTGTATTTCATTTTGTGTTATCATTTATTATAAATGAAATATGAGTGAAACATACATGACTTATGAGACATAAATTATATATATAAATACAAATGAGATATAAATGAAGTATAAAATGCAATATATTTCATATTATAACACTGTATGTAATATTTAAGTTAAAATTCAAATACTTCCACTGACAGCACAAAACACTTCAAATGTTTACTTTTATGTTTAAATTAAAAGACTTATGATATTTTTAAAATTCAAAATAAAAGCAAATTGGAAATAATGAACATTTTTAAGAAATTGATGTTTTTACAGATCTGCGCTGTTTGCAGTGGCCTTTTTCCCCCAGATAGTACAAGGCAGTCCAAATATAGGGTTTGTGGATTATTCTCTTTATGCTTTTTCTAAAAAGTTTTATCCAATTAACACCAAAACCCTGAAGATGCTTGGACTTCTTCTGACATGCCCCTGGTGTAATACTGAAAATACCAATTGCTTTGAATATTTTAAAATAAGATGCAGAGCACAAAATGAACAAAGCAACTAAACAGAGTGAAAGGGGCAAATTCAGTTCCAAAGGTTCTCACCAAATGGTAACCCTTCAGGAAATAATTTTTGATATAAGCTGTCAGATAGCTTGATTTTTGATTCCCCTGTCTTCTCACTGGGGTTGACATTGTTGCTCCAGAACACACCACTACAAGATGTCAGTAGATCATAGGGAAATTTGTGGGACATGGTGGGATTCTGGAGCATGAGAACCCAAACAAAAGTTCACCGATACCTATCTGTATGTTACATGCCATAACAGAAGAGCAGGGAGACACTCTT